CTTACATTTGCCATGCAGTTTAGTAAACAATATGGTCTGTTCTCGAAGAAATCAAGTAACTATTTTTTGCTGCAGCTGTTGAGCCCACAGTGCTGCTATTTGATTGCTGTCGAGTGTATTGACGACATTCACTCCTTGCTGCGATCTGGCGACATTGACTCATATCCAGGCCCCAACTCAGCCGCTATACTCGAAAAATTATGTAATATATCACCTGGTCAGTCTAAACTCATTTCAGAAGCGAGTAACCTGAAACTATCGCCCACTTGAGCCAGCGGAATCTTTCTTCGCACAGAAATGGACAACATTAGGTCCAATACTAACCGGACAGGCTGTCAAATATTGAAACTTGAGGAATACTTTGACGATGCCGAAAATGAATCACGGCGAAATAACTTCGTATCTCATGGCCTGCCCGAGCCTAGTAAATCTGAAACTTATATGCAAAATCAAGAACTGGTCATACAGCATTGTCGTGACCACCTTGGCTTTGCATTAAATTACAGAAATCGAAAGGGTTCATCGCCTAGGCCGTCACACTATCGAGCGTGGTCGCCCTATTATCCTTAAAATTTTCTTTTACAAGATGAAAAAAGCTGTACTTCCTAATGCTTGAAAACTAAAGGGAACTAATTATAGTATTGCACAGGACTTCCTCCTCTGTCAGAAGCGCCCATAAGCATTTGGTGGCTTTTGCCAATGCTAAATCTGCTCACTTTTCTTTGTCTTACGAGACACTTTCTATCTGTTCAAAAGAATATAATTATGATTAAGTCTCACAAACAATCAAAGAATTACAATTGCAATCAACAGCTTGTAATGGAAAAAAAATGCATCATAGCAATGTTTTTCAAGCTAACCTTACATTTTTGTAATCTTTACCAATATTAGCAGCTTCTTGCCGAAGCGTAAACTTGGATCAAACGTTGTCTTATCATCTACTAGCAATGTACTCATACTAACTGAAACATGGCTACATAGCAACATCAGTGACGCTGAAGTTCTTGCCGACCTGCCCAACTTTAATCTCTATCATAAAGATGGACGGGGAGGGGGGATGGAGGAGTCCTTGTTGCGGTAGATCAGCAACTACCATCTCCAGCATTGCGCATCAATTCAGACATTGAAGTATTACGGGTCATCGGCTGCACAGTACGGCGAACCGTACTTCTAGGTGTCTGCTATAGGCCGCTCCAAAGCAACCCCGATTTCCCGCACAAAGTGAACGAAATTCCACACTCTTACAAGAGTCCACCCAAACACAAACATTGTTCTGTTCGACGATTTCAATTACCCTCACATTGACTGGCATAACCATACAACTTTAACAAGTAGCCCTAAAGCAACTAACTATTGATGTGTGTCTCAACTTCAACCTCTCGCAGCTGATAACTGAACCAACACGTGTCACACAGAGCTCTTCAGACATACAAGACTTGATATTAACCAACCAGCCCGACTAGCATGAATATAAACTAGCATGAATATATAATGAAACAATGTACTGAACTTTACCCACTAAATGTGCTTTAAGCATCTATTGAGACGAAAGGTAATGAGAAAAATGAATGATCAAAGCCAAGACTTTACTCTTTTCAAGTAACCCCTAATGGCCCTTTTGAGAGGGTATTACATACAGCTGTAGGAAAAAGATATATACAGTGCAAGAGATACCCACCAAGCATAAAAAAACAGCAAAGAAGAAACAGTTGTTTAAGCATGATGAACATTGACACATAATATCACATGTCGGAAATATTAAAAAAATATTTGAAAATGCAACACAATACAACAACATAACATAATAATAGAGCACAAAATATAAACAAAATGAGTTATTGAGAAGAAAACAGAACATCAAACTTGGTTATCATTTAAACATATCTAATTCAAAGAAAAGCGGCGCACAAAAAAGACGGAGACAAAGAAGAGAACCACACACAGCGCTGCTCTTTGGTTCTCTTCTTTGTCTCCGTCTTTTTTGTGCGCCACTTTTCTTTGAATATGAATATACACCAACTCGCCCAACTTTCTATTCTGTTAAAACATATCTAAATTTCGAAATGTTGCTTTCTGTTGCAATACTTTAAAGTGGCCAGTTTTATTCAACAGTGGTTTTTGAAATGAACGAATCAGTGAAATATGAGGTACAGCATGTGATGCGTTTCATCATGGTATAAAAACATGGCTAGGGGTTACTGGAAGAAATCATTACGATGTTATGGATAATGATAGTATGTATGCAAAAGAAATAAACGAGTGAGCTTACGATAACGGAATAGGTTATCAACACTTGCAACAGTTTGTAGGGCAGTGACGCAGTGAAACAGGAGTAGTCAGAGAAAACGAAGTTAGCAGCAGGCTTCCTTAGAGATTCTATGTTATCAATAATATACGCTGGTTACGGGTTCCATATAGCTGAAGCCTTACCAATTTTAGGGCACGTTCAGCTAACATATGAAAGTTTTTGCAAATATGCAGGAGCATGGTGCAGATTACGTTTGAACACCCCAAGAGAGCGTATAGTAGCTACAAAAATGTGATCGACGTGACAGTTCCAGGAAAGGTTGGTTTGTAGATGTAGTCCTATGTATTTGTACGATGTGGCCGACTTTTTTTGTGCGAATTAATGTATATGTGATTGGGAGGTGGCTAGAATTTCGAGTGAAAGAGACGAGTTTAATAATGCAATGAATTAGCCTCATAGGCCATGATGAACATCATGAATTGATCGATTTGAGGTCAGATTATACGTACTGCTGGTCATCCTCATTCCTTGTGATAGAACGATACGCAACGATGTCATCCGTGAACACTCTAATAAAAATGGTGAGACATTTGATGGCGGAAGAGAATATAGAAACATTTACGCAAACATAAGTAGTTACTATTACTCAGCACGTGGAACTGTGAAAAAGATGAATCAAGTTTTTCAATATTATTTCAATACTTTGTTAAGGTGTATACGGAGACATACACAAAGATGTTACAGAGAAAAGGCATAATGGAGCAACACCAAACTGCTACTATATTACTATTATTTACATATTCCAGTGCAATATCAAGGTGCCAACAGCAAGCATTAAGCATTGCAGTTACTTATTCACAAAGCTGTTACTCATAGCACATATATTTGAGTAAAGATGTGCATTAATGAACACCTGAACCTGCGCTTTGTAAGGCAGGCATAATTTCTTTCAACACACACATCACAATGAAATTACTACCGTCTTTCTATTAAAAATTGAATAACAGCGTGAAAACTGAATAGCAAATCTCACTCATTTAAACGCAACAGGTCCTTTGTAACAGCCCAATGACATGGTGATTGCCGTCACATTTTCATGTTCATAATGCATGAAGCTCCAACAAAAGTGTAAAATGGTCAATAATTTCTAAGAAGCAGCAGTTGCAATGCCTTGCTGTCAAACCTATGTATGAGACTTCTTTTCTCTTCTACAGAAGGGATGAACACATCTGCAACGGCACACAGAACACTGTTAAATCAAACACAAATAACACAGCACACTCACACATACTTTTATTATTGGCATCAACTATGCTTGATCGTTAGAAATATTTTAATTACTGTTATGACCAAACCTGAACGACTACTCTTTCAGTAATTCGTCAGGTGAAACGATGTATGGTTTTGAAAAAATAAAAGTTCTACACATACGATAATTAAACTTTGGGCAGTTGAAATTGAAACGAAATACTTAATTTAGGAAACATTTGCGGCAGAGCGACACAGCTGCATAAATAATATGAATGCCCAGAGAACGAAACCAATGTGCCAAGTACTAATTTCCCCGTTTTAGCACACCATATGTGGGTAGACTATGATAAATGAAACTGCAGTGGCAAAATTGAACTGCAGGCATTAACCATCGATGCCATGAAATTGAATGGGTACACCAGATTAACAACCTATGGGACATTTCACAGCAGTCTTTTTTTTTTTAGTTTAGAGCATTATTGAAGTGCTGCATTATAAACATAAAGCACCTACAATACTTCAAGCAGTGTGTAGATATATTTCTAGGCACAACATTTTCTTATATTTCTTTCCCTCTCCCATATCTATCATATTGTAAGACAGTAGCAGCGTTTTGGTCTCGATGGCGTTTATTAGTCCAAATCGCTTGATCACCGCTTCGAAGACATTTTTCGTGACGATGATTATATACAGATGAAGAAGATGAAGGTCAAACGCTGTGAATATTGTTCTTACACTAATTTTCCCTTCACGTGGAAGCAACCAATGTGGCCTCCGTTTATGGCGATGGTGTACGTCGCACGAATGAAGTCCAATACTGACCAGACAGGCCGTCAAATATTGAAACTTGAGGAATATTTTGACGATGCCGAAAGTGGATCACGGCGAAATAACTTCGTACCTCATGGCCTGCCCGAGCCTAGTAAATCTGAAACTTATATCCAAAATCAAGAACTGGTCATACAGCATTGTCGTGACCACCTTGGCCTTGCACTAAATTACAGAAATCGAAAGGGTTCATCGCCTAGGCCGTCACTCTATCGAGCGTGGTCGCCCTATTATCCATAAAATTTCCTTTTACAAGATGAAAAAAGCTGTACTTCCTAATGCTTGAAAACTAAAGGTAACTAATTATAGTATTGCACAGGACTTCTTCCTCTGTCAGCAGCGCCCGTAAGCATTTGGTGGCTTTTGCCAATGCTAAATCTGCTCACTTTTTTTTTGTCTTACGAGACACTTTCTATCTGTTCAAAAGAATATATTTATGATTAAGTCTCACAAACAATCAAAGAATTACAATAGCAATCAACAGCTTGTAATGGAAAAAAAATGCATCATAGCAATGTTTTTCAAGCTAACCTTACATTTTTGTAATCTTTACCAATATTAGCAGCTTCTTGCCAAAGCGAAAAACTTGGGTCAAAAGTTGTCTTATCGTCTACCAGCAATGTACTCATACTAACTGAAACATGGCTACATAGCAACATCAGTGACGCTGAAGTTCTTGTCGACCTGCCCAACTTTAATCTCTATCACAAAGATGGACGGGGAGGTGGGATGGAGGAGTCCTTGTAGCGGTAGATCAGCAACTACCATCTTCAGCATTGCACATCAATTCAGACATTGAAATATTACGGGTCATCGGCTGCACAGTACGGCGAACCGTACTTCTAGGTGTCTGCTATAGGCCGCTCCAAAGCAACCCCGATTACCCGCACAAAGTGAACGAAATTCCACACTCTTACAAGAGTCCACCCAAACGCAAACATCGTGCTGTTCGACGATTTCAATTACCCTCACATTGACTGGCATAACCATACAACTTTAACAAGTAGCCCTAAAGCAACTAACTGTCGATGTGTGTCTCAACTTCAACCTCTCGCAGTTGATAACTGAACCAACAGGTGTCAGTCACACAGAGCTCTTCAGACATACAAGACTTGATATTAACCAAACAGCCCGACTGTATGACATCTATAACATACTTAAGGGAAATAAGCGATCACAAGGTTGTTCATGCCACTTTTAACTTTGCCCCACTAGTATGTGAAACCTATAAGAAAACAATTTGACTCTATGATAAGGCTATTTATGAAGCTAAGGCTACTTATGAAGCTATCGATAGCGAACTAAACCAATTTTTCCCAGTATTTGAGATGCAATTTTGTAATAATTAAGTACAAGAAAACTGGATACTTTTCAAGGGCAAAGTACTAGAACTAAGTGATAAGTATATTTCTATATGTAGTTTTCACCCTAATAAAAACAAACCCTGGTTCAATAAATCACTATAGCGACTCAAAAATAAGACAAAAAAGATGCTGTCGAGCTGCTAAACAGAGGAACAACTTGTTGTGGTGGGATAGGTACTACTCAGCTGAAACCGAGTACTTTGCAGCATTACAGTGCTAAGTACAAGTTTTTTCACGATGACCTTCCCTGTCTGCTAACGCAAAATCCAAAATAATTTTGGCATGTAAATAACCCTGAACACAAACGTACGATAACCCTTTCCAATGACAACAATGATGTTGTAAGTAATGAGGAATGTGTAGACGTATTTAACACTGCCGGTGCAAGAGTGTTTACTAATGATCATGCCATGCCTCCAATCGTACTAAGATTAAAGTGCATTACCATTGATCTGTCAATGCTCGAGATTGTTTTTTCCGTTGATGACATATCTCGCATAAATAATCTAAAACTGATATCATCAGATTGTTACGATGAAATTAATTTTAAGTTTTTACTCAATACGAAGAACATCTCGGCTGCTTTCTTGCGTCTTCGGTTTTCCCAGTCCCTGTCAACACGACACTTACTCGATGACTGGAAAGGGGAAAGGTCATTTCCATCCGCAAGTCTGGCAGTAAGCAGCAACCATTAAATTATCGTCCAATAGCATTAACAAGTATACCATGTAAAATTATCGAACACATCATTTATTCACAAATTATGACCTTCCTAGACGTAAATCATTTTTTTAATCCTTCAAAGCATGGTTTTCGCAAAGGTCTATCCTGTGAAATTTAGCGAGCTAACTTCCTTCATGATCTATACTTGAACTGTAACCAACAAACTGATGGCTTTTTAGATTTCGTGAAAGCATGTGATAAAATGTCTCATACGCTTCTTTTTAAACTTTCAAGCTTAAACATTAACCCTTGTGTTCTTAATTGAATTGCGGCTTTTTTGAGGAAGCGCTCACAGTCAGTTTTTTTTAATGAGTGTTTTTCTCTTCCATAACTTCTGTTATTCCCGAGGGTTCGGTTTTACGCCCTATATTGTACCAAATACACATTAACAACTTACCTTTACACGTTTCATGTCACAGCCATTTGTTTGCTGATGACTGAACCATTTATCATACTATCACTAATCCATCTGAACAGCAAGCAGTTTAACATAATCAGTGGCTCATTACACTTGATCCCACTAAATGCAAATTATTATCTTTCTAACCTAAACATGTCACTAGTATTATAGCAAAAGCTAAAAAATCACTCGAATTTCTAAAACGTCATTTGCATCATGCTCTCAAGCATCTAAAACATATAGCCTACAAATCCATAACCAGACCAAAGCTTGAGTATGCTGCTGCCATTTAGAGCCCATCTCAGGCTTATCTAACAAATTCGTTTGAGGCACCGCAGAACCACGCTGTACAATTTATTCATTCATCCTACTCATACCATATCAGTGTGTCATCGTTAAGGGAAAAATCATCTATATCAACTCTTGCACTTTGTGGTCCCATTGCCAACAAAGCTCTGTTCCACAAGTTATAATTCAGCCCACGTGACTGCCCGGACATCACCCCGTCAACCAGCATATCTCATCGCACTGGTCATGCCCTGCAAGTCACCAGTCCATGCAGCCGCACCACGAAATTTTCTGCCTCATTGTTTCAACACTCATCATCTAAATGGAACGACCCTTTCCACAGCATTGCCACCATTACCTGCCCGACCTTATTCTTGCATTACCTGTCTAGCAAATAACCTATATATGTGGTTACCATTTTGTATGTTTTCTCTACATCCACCCCTTATGTAACACCCCCTAGAGAGGTCATTAGGGTAATGAAATGAAATTAAATACTCCTAATTCCCATGGTCACTGAGCAATCAGAGTGCCAGAGTCCCCTTTAATTAATTTTAGGAAACACTATGCCTGTGTGGGTGCGCATGTGGTTAACCAGAAACCCTTCTGTCCAAATGATGCACTGCATTGGTCACACGAAAAGGGACGCTCTCCTGTGTGGGTGTGCATGTGATTCACGAAGTCCGTTTTCAGTGAAAAAGATGCACTGCAGTGGTCACAGCAAAAGGGACGTTGTCCTGCGTGCTTCTGCATGTGGTCCATGAGATGCCCTTTCCGTGAATAAGATGCATTGCAGAAGTCACATGAGAAAGGACGCTCCCCTGTGTGGGTGATCATATGGGCCTTGAGGAATGTTCTCTGAGAAAACGATGCACTGCATTTGTCACAGGAAAAGGGACGGTCTCCTGTGTGGGTACGCATGTGGCTCACAAGGGAAGCTCTCATTGCAAACGATGCATTGCATTGGTCACAGGAAAAAGGACGCTCTCCTGTGTGCGTACGAATGTGGTCTTTAAGAGTCCTCTTTTCAGTGAATGCTGCTGGGCACAAGAGGCATTGAAAAGGCCGCTCGCCTGTATGTATGCGAAGGTGTCTTTTCATGTTTCCCTTGCTCTTGGTCACATATGTGCACTGTCGGCAGGAGTACAGTCCACCTTCTACGGACACGAGTGAATGGTCCTGCTCATGGGATGCTGCACAAGAGAACATGCAAAAAGAACAAAAATGCAATGAAAATTGCGTGACACACAATTACTACAACTGGACTACAGCATCAGATAATGAAGAAATGTTGCGCCCTTTTTAAATGAAGTACATCATTATCTTTGCCTACACAAACCATATGTTAGTGCAGTAGTAACCGTGCAATGACACCATACATTTTGCAACAGTTCCCATTATTCTGCAAGCAAACCTACCACTTAATATTTATTATTTTTATTTACGTATTTGTTGGACAATACATGATTGGCATGGTGCAGCAGAAGAAAGGCGACATTATGAGTCGCCTGACTGATGCTCTAGAACCACATTGTACAGTCTTCAGACAGAGCGACTACGTTGGCAAAAAAAAAAAAGGAAAAAAGAAACATAAGAACACAATTACACTGCGAAGAACTAGGAGATACGTGCTGAAACCTGCAAATGCAGAGTGGCCTGATTTAGTTGCAATTCCTACACTATGCCTAAACAGACAAGTCCTCAGCATATGCCAAAACATTTAGCAGCAATACGTTGAAGTATTTATTGCACTTATTTTTGCATATTCTTGAACAGCAACAAAATCGGTTCATATTTCAACACATGAAGCATGACAAGCACAATATGAGTGAAAGAGGTCAATATAAAACAAACTAAAATTTCGAAAAAAAAAAAACAAATGAATTTCTAAGGAACTGGATGGCATCACATATTTCGGTGTTCAACAGATGGCACATTTATATACACAGCACAGAAAATTGCTTCTCTATGTGTACTATCTCTGTTTATACCTTTCCCATTAATCTCTCCATGCTGCTTTAATGAAAGCATAATTTAGCACAGAATACAAAGCGAGCTATTCACCAAGTACACTTACATTACCATATACATTTGTCACATGATATCCCACTTTATACACATGTATACAAAATCAAACTCAATGTAGATAGTCTCTAGGCATTGATCCATTCTTAGAAAGCCACCTGCCAACAAGGCAAAACAAGAATGAATATATGATGAAACAATGTACTGAACTTGACCCACTAAATGTGCTTTAAACATCTATTGAGACAAAAGGTAATGAGAAAAATGAATGATCAAAGCCAAGACTTTACTCTTTTCAAGAAACCCCTAATGGCCCTTTTGAGAGGGTATTACGGCTGTGGGAAAAAGATATATATACAGTGCAAGAGATACACACCAAGCATAAAAAACTGCAAAGAAGAAAACAGTTGTTTAAGCATAATGAACATTGGCACACAATATCACATGTCGAAAATATTGAACGAAATATTTGAAAATGCAATACAATAAAACAACATAACATGATAATAGAGTACAAAATATAAACAAAATGAGTTATTGGGAAGAAAACAGAACATCAAACTTGGTTATCATTTAAACATCACTAAATTTCGAAATGTTGCTTTCTGTTGCAATACTTCAAAGTGGCCAGTTTCATTCAACGATGGATTTTTGAAATGATCGAATCAGTGAAATATGAGGTACAGCATGTGATGCGTTTCATCATGACATAGAAACATGGCTAGGGGTTACTGGAAGAAATCATTACGATGTTATGGATAATGATAGTATGTATGCAAAAGAAGTAAACGAGTGAGCTTACGATAACGGAACAGGTTATCAACACTTGCAACAGTTTGTAGGGCAGTGACGCAGTGAAACAGGAGTAGTCAGAGAAAACGAAGTTAGCAGCAGGCTTCCTTAGAGATTCTATGTTATCAATAATATACGCTGGTTACGGGTTCCATATAACTCAAGCCTTACCAATTTTAGGGCACGTTCAACTAACATATGAAAGTTTTTGCATATGAGCAGGAGCATAGTGCAGATTACGTTTGAACACCCCAGGAGAGCGTATAGTAGCTGCAAAAATGTGATCGACGTGACAGTTCCAGGAAAGGTTGGTTTGTAGATGTAGTCCTATGTATTTGTACGATGTGGCCGACTTTTTTTGTGCGAATTAATGTATATGTGATTGGGAGGTGGCTAGAATTTCGAGTGAAAGAGACGAGTTTAATAATGCAATGAATTAGCCTCATAGGCCATGATGAACATCATGAATTGATTGATTCGAGGTCAGATTATACGTACTGCTGGTCATCCTCATCCTTTGTGATAGAACGATACACAACGATGTCATCAGTGAACACTCTAATAAATATGGTAAGACATTTGATGGCAGAAGAGAATATAGAAACATTTTAGCAAACATAAGTGGTTATTATTACTCAGCACGTGGAACTGTGAAAAAGATGAATCAAGTTTTTCAATATTACTTCAATACTTTGTTAAGACGTATACGGAGACATACACAAAGGTGTTAGAGAGAAAAGGCATAATGGAGCAACACCTAACTGCTACTATATTACTATTATTTACATATTCCAGTGCAATATCAAGGTGCCAACAGGAAGCATTAAGCATTGCAGTCACTTATTCACAAAGCTGTTACTCATAGCACATATACTTGAGTAAAGATGTGCGTTAATGAACGCCTGAACCTGTGCTTTGTAAGGCAGGCATAATGTCAACACACACATCACAATGAAATTACTAGTCTTCTCATTAAAAATTGAATAACAGCGTGAAAACTGAATTGCCCAATTTCACTCGTTTAAACGCAACAGGTCCTTTGTAACAGCCCACAGACATGGTGATTGCCAGTCGCATTCTCATGTTCATAACGCATGAAGCTCCAACTAGAGTGTAAAATAGGTCAATAATTTCTAAGAAGCAGCAGTTGCAATGCCTTGCTGTCAAACCTATGTATGAGACTTCTTTTCTCTTCTACAGAAGGGATGAACACATCTGCAACGGCACACAGAACACTGTTAAATCAAACACAAACAACACAGCACACTCAAACATACTTTCATTATTGGCATCAACTATGCTTGATTGTTAGAAATATTTTAATTACTGTTATGGCCAAACCTGAACGACGACTCTTTCAGTAATTCGTCAGGTGAAACGATGCAGGTTTTGAAAAAAGAAAAGTTCTACACATACGATAATTAAACTTTGAGCAGTTGTAGTTGAAAAGAAATAGTTAATTTAAACATTTGTAGCAGTGCAACACAACAGCATAAAGAATATGAATGCCCAGAGAATCAAACTAATGTGCTAAGTATTCATTTCCCCGTTTTAGCACACCATATATGAATAGACTGTGATAAAAGAAATTGAAGTGACCCAATAAAAAAAAACTGGGCGCATGACCCATAGATGCCATGAAGTTGAATGGGTACACCGGTTATACGATTTGCGAGACATTTCATAGGCGTCTCTTTTTTTTATTGACAGAAATAATAAAGTGCTGCATTATGAAGATAAGACACCTGCGATACTTCAAGCAGCGTGTAGATATAATTCTATGCCCGACATTTTCTTACATTGCTGTTTCACATCTATTGTACTAACGAACGGCCGGAGAAGTGAACGGTTACCCTGTATGGTGGGCTGGTGTGTCGACAGCCAGCAATCAAAATTTTTTTAAGTAGTTTTACATAAAGGATAGTTCAATCTAACATATTTGGATGTAATGAAGTAAGGCTGTACTACCAAAATACAACCTAGTTGTAGCTTCAATTAGAAGCTCTTTTGAGCAAAGAAATAACGAGGGAAGGGTTCAAGGGTAGCGCACCCTTTGAACTATTCCCTCGTTGTTTCTTTATGCGAAATAGCCTCAAATGTGCCTTCCAACTGAACATGAACCGACTAGCCCAGCAATGTGCACTTCTTAGGAGCTTGTTGTCGATTTCAATATCCCGCATTTGCGCTTACCTCTGATGCAGAATGTAGCAGAGCGCTTTCAGACCTTGGTATAACAAACTAATCTCGTCAGGATTGCTTCTTCATCTGGCTACAGCTTGTTTATTTTGGTTAATACAAACGCGACCACAAACCCTGCAAAGTATAATATTTGAAACGCTTCAACACGCTGCAATTTCGTGCATTACAAGGTCATTAAGGGCCGTCTCTTTATGTGGTTTGTCAGTGTACAATTTACGCACAACCTTTAATGAATCTGTAAGTACAACAGACTTTTTAATATTTAACTTGACAATATATTTTATGGGACATGAAATTGCTCTTGCCTCTGCATTAAATATACTAGCATGCATGTAGAGTTTTTGCTAAGACGTAATATTGAGCCCAAAGGCCACTGCATCTACCCCAAGCCCAGTACAATGGCATAAAAAGGGTAGCGGTTAAGATATCCATAGCTTGGAGCTCATCTACTGGTAACCTGAAGCCCCTAAGTTCACTAGGATTGATTAAAAGACAATACATTCAGTGTATGTTGAAAAGCGAAAACTAGATAAGCCCATTTTAAGTACAACTTAAATGTAACACACACACTGAAATGAAGTCTGCTTTCTGCTTAGACGGATGGCATAAAAACAAACATTTGTGGCATTTTTCTAAAATATTTGTGCTTAAATTGTGCTTCCTAAAATAAATATTGGCTTTTGAGGATTAAAAAAAGTTTTCTAAAGCCATTCTACAAAAAACTACGGTATTTACGACAAACCAATGCTAGAAATGTACAATATGTAAAAGGTGCAGTACAAGAAATCAACTTGACAAGTATGAAGTAGGTATTATAAATTACAAAGAGACAGTACATTTCAACTAAGGTTAAAAATGTCTCTCTTTTAATGCGAAAAAAATCTAAACCTAGGGGAAATAATTCATGGTTGCATCTTGACTGCACAGTGTAATATATTAAAACCGCAACTGCATGCTTAGCTTACAAGCCCCAGTATCGATAAGTATAGACGCTATCTTTACTGGCACTGAGAAGCAGCTGAGGACTTAATCACATATGACATAATAAAGCACCCCAAGTTTTCCTACAGTAATAGCAACCTTAAGTATCTGACATTCTAAGCAACTCAAGACATGCCAAAAAACAAAGATGCTCCAGCACTACGGATTGCTTACTGTAAGCAATGATGAAAGTGCC